TACCCCGAAAGCCAACAAGCTTCGCCTGAACAAGGTCGACGGCGAGTTCACGACTAACGGCACTGTCGCACTAGTGCGCACTGGGGGCGGGGAGAGGGGTGCTCATCGAGCAGATGCTCTTAGTGCCGTTTCGGGGGTCCGCACTCTTCCCACGCCATCCCCCATCAACTATGAACACTAGTCCCCGGGGAGATCACAGATATCAAGAGCAGGACTCAAGCCTAATCAAGTAGAACCTGTATCATCATTCACGCAAGCCTCTGCTGGCGACAAACACCATCACTAGAAAATGTAGCCCAATCAAAATGGTATTCAAACTCTGACGCCCACTTCCGCCTTCTCCGCCAAGACCATGCGAAGATCAGTGGGAGCCTCCGTCGGACTGTTCGTGGCCACGCGCGAAGGGGGCGTCATGCCGACAACGGCAGCATCTTCTGCATCGCAGTTGGACGGCACCTCCGCGGGCGACACGATGTCCGCCTCCAGGTCCGGCGGCGGCAGCTCCGGAACGGAGCGCAGCAACCACTGCAGCCTGTCCAGGACGTCCCGATTTTGATCGCATGTCGTAAGCGCCGACTCAAGCTCTGCCGGAACAGGCTCGGCATCACCCAGATCCTCCTCCGTCAGCGGGGGGCTCTGCACAGCGTCCTTCGCCTCGACACTCCCTTCGTCGACGTCCATGATCAAGGGGTCCGACTGTCGCAGGCCAGCAAATATGTCCTCCCGAGACGTCGCAGTATTGCCCGTCTCGGCGTGTTTTGCCTTGTTCATCTCTTTGCGCGATCGGTAGAACCGAGCACGCGTCGTGACGAGCTGCATGTTGTATCGCCTGTGAACAACGACAGGGCGGTACCCATAGCCGAGATGAGGTGCGGATACGCCCTGCGGAAAAGGGTTTGCAAGTCCTCGCTGACGCACGTGCCCCATGAAGCGAGCATCTCGCACCGTGCGGGAGGAAGAGGCAACATGCGCTTGGCCAAACCAATCTGGAATGGCATTCGGCACAGTGACGTCTTGCCGTTCAAACCGGTCCGGCACACTTGTGCGAGGAGCGGGTCCAACCGGTCGCGAACCATAGCGAGGACGTCGCCACCGGGCATATCTCTTCGGAGAGCGCTCCTCCATGCAGTGCCCTTCCTCCGCAACATAGTCCTGCACGTTCGACGAACCGCGAAAGCCAAGTGCGGGATCCACTCTGTACCTGGCTTTCTTCTTTGAGGTATGCGCATGGGCGACGCAGTCCTTGCGCACACCCGCCTCGAGCCACTGCAAAAAGGCAGTGACGAGAGCTTGCGGCGTCTCCGGTCCACCGTGCTGCACAAAGTCCAGTCATTCGTCGGACTCGCGCAAGTACTCAAAATTGGACCCCAAATTCCTTTCGCTTGCGGCGTCGTCGCCGAACAATCGCCAATACGAACACAAACAGCAGGATGAAGGAATCCATGGCGAAGAACTTGTATGAATAGCAATAGGAACCATGTTAACGACGATGCGATCTATGATGAAGTACAGACTCTCAACTTGCTGCACACTGTCTTACAATGCTTGACTCTGTGAAAGGTAGTTACTGACGCACAGTGTATCAAATCCGCAGGCCCTTCACCCCTAAACCCCTAAACCCCTAAACCCCTAAACCCCCAAACCCCTAAACCCCTAAACCCCTAAACCCTAAACCCCTAACCCCTAAACCCCTAAAGCTTAGGGGTTCAGGGTTTAGGGGTTCATTTAGGGTTCATTTAGGTACAGGGTTCGAGGTTTATGAGGGCCTTTAAGTCCCGGGGCTGCAAACTTTGATATGATCTACGGCGTCTGCGGTTTAGGCTTTAGTTTCGTAACCCTAAACCCTAAACCCTAAACCCTAAACCCTAAACCCTAAGGGTCTCAGGTTTACGGTTCTTGATCTGGGCTCGAACTTAGGGCTTAGAGGATTTAGGCTTTAGGGTTTGGGGTGTAGAGTTTAGGGTGTAAGGGGCTCCTACCCGAAAAACTTCTGGCTCAAGATCAGCCAACCGGCGGCTGCAAGAGAGAAGATTGCAATGATCATGATTTCCTGGCATGCCGGGCGAGCGCTCAAGGTGTTTAGGAATCGGCCCCAGGATAAACCTCCAAAGTAACATCTCATTTACCCTAAACCCTAAACCCTTAGACCCTAAACCCTAAACCAGTCTTGAGGAGGTTGTGCCCTGAGTTCCCTAGTACGGAGAAACCTCAAACTGCGGAGGGTAGCTGGTGTATGACTATGCTCTGATGTCACCTTCCAAGGTTTAGGGTTTAGGGTTCTTCTGCATGTCTACAGGGTGTTATGGGGCTTGTTGCGGTTTGTACAAGGGCTACAGGCTTCTCGGAGAAAGTGTAACTTCTTCACTGGATTCTTCACGTTTCATTATTTTGCGGATTCTACTCTGTAGTATTCTATATGACGGCCCCTTGTTCTCCGAAACTCCCCGTGTAAGACGAACAAGAATGTCAACAAAAGGATGGGAAACGGGGTCGGAACTACAGCAGTACTACTGAGAGAAGCCAGATATGAATGCTGCGGGATTAAGGCTCAGAAAGAACACAACAAACTAACAATCATATAAATCGTAACCAAAAGTTGCACGTCAAGAACGTATTACAATAATGATGATGCAGACAATAATAAGAGCGAGAATTGTATCGGAATACTAAGAAAGTATTGAAAACAGAAAAGCTTACAAGCCTTTAAGGCTTTAAGGATGATAGCAGCAAATCTGATCATAGCAAGACCAGGCGCAAAAAAATGAGGAATGAATGTTACAGGTCCTTCTATAGAGTAATACTAAACCTCTAAACCCCTAGGTAAAGGAAACCACAGGTGGGGAG